AAAACAGTTCCTGAGGTTTAAAAGTATACATCTGAAAAGAGATGGAATACTTTGTCTAAATTCTACATTTGTCTTAATGTGCAGTTACATGTTGTCAGTTTACCCACCCGCAATGATTGCAGCACACCGTGCAGTCTCCAGTTGTTTGCCCCTTTATGCTTCACTCGCATGTAAAAATTAACATTTTAATCAGCCTAAATGATGTGAACTAGGGACAGAAACATAATGATACCGAGTTTATTTTGCCTATTTTTCCTGGTGTTGGAAATAGTTTATAATGATCCTGTATTTTTTAAAAAATCATAAACAGAGCCTGTAATCAGATATAATAAGCAGCAAAGGTAATATTCATGATAATGTTATTAGCACTAACCAATAATTACGGTTCAAACTTTTGGCTTGAATTGATGTTATTATTATCATACAACCCACAGCTAATTTTCCCAAAACTGCTCTGTTTAAAATAGACAAGCTTTCTAATTAAATTATTTCACGTAATGAGTGTTTTTATTGTCCATTGATACCTTAGTATTTACCAGCTTCTTATTATTTAACTATGCTTTTGTTCTGTAAAGTACAAATTTTAGAAATAATCTATTTTATTTATTTTGGATAGATCTTGCCTAACATATAAACCACAAATAAATGTGATCACCAAAATTCCATCATTTAAAAAAAACTTTAGTGTCACCAAAATGCTTATTATAATGAAATGATTCCAAATAATTTTTTTTTTATGACAGGCCAGTGTTTTTCTTGCCCAGGTTTCATGACTATCCTAGACTGGCTGGTTTATATGATGAATTGTAGGGAACTGAATAGGAAGAATACCAACAAACTGACTTAATATTAATGGTGAGAACCCTGCACACCTTCACAGAGTTTTAACAGTAGGGACTGTGTCTTCTTTCCTGAAGTTACTGGTAGTTTGACTTTCTGCCCTGACTGGAATAAAAACCAACCTTTGTGTGTTATTTTGGTTTAGGAGCTCACTTTTAGAGAGTACTCTTCTTGGAAAGAATGTGAATAAAGGAAAGATCCTAAATAGGAGGTCTAACACCGCAGTTGTGTTCTGTTCTTTGTGCCTCTAGACAAATCACATAACCTCTCTGAGCCTCAATTTCTTCCTCGATAAAATGGAAATATATTTATTGCCCATCTCAGAATATTCTTAGGACTGGTGGTATATTTTGAAGTGTTTTATGTGCCCCCAAATACATATGTAGGGCCGGGGATTTAGCTCAGCGGTTCGGTGGCCTGCCTTCCAAATACATATGTAAATGTACATAATGTGTGATCATTTAACAATATATGGTTATCTCATAGAAAGTAATTTTGGTGTTGTGAAATTGTATATGTTAAAGTAAATAGCAGAAAACATACTAGTTTGACAGTCCTTGGGGAATGTGTCATGGTCTGTATCGAAAATTTCAATCAGTGAAGGGACCGATTTGAGGGTAGGAGTGGGTGTGGTGTGGCTGTGATACGGATCACTGGGCTTGATTTGTCTGGTTGGGAATCCTCTTCTCTTTCACTTGCACGTAGTTCCTTCCCAAAGCTGAAGGAAGTCATCAAAGAAGACCACATATGACAAAAGACCATGCACTGACCATGGTTATTAAATAGGGTTTGATAGTTACTGCTTTTGTTGTGTGAATACAGTGGTGTATAGAATACAAAGACAGATTAACTATAAAATTGTATAAAATTAGATGTTTATTGGGAACTTCTAGCCGACTACAAACAGTCTGGGAGGAGGAATAAGAATAGACCTTTTGGAGATAAGGGCAGCTGTGGTACAGCGCCCGTGTAAACAGGAGTCATGATGCTCATTCATTCTCTTGGATAAGTTTGAAAGTGGAGTAAGGACAGAGAAGACAGGGATCAAGTGTTTTTCCTGCTCTTCTTACCAAGGCGATGTGGAGGCCGTGCTCTGTGGTAGACACCGTGTTGCTTCTGTGTTTCCTACATCCCTGCTAGCCTTCTCTCTGGTCATGCAGAGTCAGTACACAGCTCTGTGTTTTGGTTATATGTAAATTTATATAGCTATCATTTTGTTACTGTAGCATAAGAATAACAGCATCTTTCAAAATGAAAAAAAAAATTTTTTTGTGTTTTGCTGGTACTAGGAATCAAACTCAGAACTCACACATGCTAGGATTTACCACTGAGCTATTCCCCCAGCCCTCAGGAAGAAAAACAACAAAAAACACCTACAGTTTGTTAGTTTCTTCTTAAAGATTGTGAAATGAAGTAGGAAAAGACGTGGATGAACTTATATGAATTTTGAAACAACACAAAAGAGGGAAATGGCTTCCAAGTATTGTGTGATTTGAGAACTAGTTTTGGCCCAAAAGAATTTTCACCAGTCCCACAGCAAAATGAGAAAAGAAGTAGAATATAGTGAATTTTTCATAGGGCATATTTTATTAATTTAAGAACTACATTTTCTTCTATGAGGTGAGTTGTATAATATGTCGGCAATAGTATATATATATAT